AATTAATAATAAATAAATAAATAAAAGCTTCTGTCCAGTAGTTCAGTTATCTAAAGTTCTTGTAGATTAAATACTGACATTTTCGTCTTGTTGATTCCTTTGCTTGGAACCCTGTTTCCTCTTGTGATTTATGTGTTTTTTTGTTTGTTTTTGGTAACCTCATCTGCAGTAGGGTTTTATTTATCTGTGCTTTTCTATCCTGGGAAAGCTGGAGAGAAGCCTTGTCTCCTCCTAGCAGTTTTATATTTGCCTCTGCCAAGTGCCTAAGGAGTATCACTGACCTTGAACTAACTTAGGTAATTTCTGGGCTAGGAGGTGCCTGGACTTCACAGGTAGTATAAATGGGTATTCTAAACCCATACAAAAATGGATAATTTTTAAATCCCTGTACCACCTAAAACAGACAAATTTCCTTGTTATATCCTGGTGCCAGTGGACAGATTTTTTTCTTACCTACCAAAAATGTGGCCCTTGAAGTTCCTGGCCCTCTGCTGGGTACAGGAGATAGAGGTAGGAGAAGGGTCTCAATCCAACTCTACGTCTCCTGGGCCTATATCCTTATTACCAGTTCCCACTCGGGCAGTGAAATCCAAGCTGATAGGTTTCCCAAAGCCTACAGAATTCTCCAGAGCAGCCGCAGCAGCCCTTCATAGGGATGCTAAGGGAAAATAATACTTCCTGCCCTCAAGGAGCTCAAATTCTGTTTGGGTAAAAAGACAAACTATAACCTTTAAGTGTGATAAGTAGTCTGGTAGAAGCCCCTGGAAGATTAAGTCCCCATATGTAATTATTAACATTTCCTGGGAGTAAATGTATAAATTTAGAAGTGTAATCGGCAATCTCTTTTAATACAACACAGGAGTTATTACAGGTTATAAAGAGAACGCAGTGTAGTACAGGGAATAGCGAGCGTAGCTGCTGACCCAAAGAGTAGTTTATTAATAGAAGACTGTAGTTGTCCCATTCAGAAAGCTACTAAAAATTCAAGCAGGGAACTTCCTTAGGCTATTTCTTTCCTGAAGAAATGTGTCTTTTCTTTGTTTCTTGCTGAATCATTCGAAAATCTTAGAGAACGAAACAAGCTTAATTTTACAACAAAAATAAACATTTCAGCCATTTAGAATTCTTAACATGATATTGCTCAGAAAATGTTCTTTTTAATTTTTAGCAAAGGCTAAAATATGTTCTCTAAAGAAAAGACAATGTCAGGGAGGAGGGAGGAGAAGAGTCCCTTGGGGCTTTGTCTTCCTTGATTGCCCTTACCTAGGTGCCTTGATACCCAGCGTTCGTGAGCTAAATCTGGATGTCAAAATTATTACAGCGCACACTGATGCTCTTTAAATTCATCATTGTAGGGAGTCCAGACTCTACCTCGCCTTCCACCAGTCCTACTTTCTGGAACTACAATCGTTCTATGGGAGATTATGCACAAACTTTAAAGAAGTTTCAGTATCAACTTGCCTGTAGGTCTCAGGCCCCCTGTGCTAACAAAGATGAAGCTGATCTCAGTTCTAAACAAGCTGCAGAGGAGGTAAGTGGAAAATAAAAATGCCTTAATATTTTTGATTGCAGATTGTTAGAAAGTCCAATACTTCTGGAACATTTTTTTTTCTGTAATCTTCACTTTTTTTTTTTTTAAGATTTTATTTATTTGAGAAAGAGAGAAAGCACAAGCAGGGGGGAAGGGCAGAGGGAGAGAGAGAGAGGCAGACTCTCCACTGAGCAGGGAGCCCAACGTGGGGCTCAATTGCAGGACCCTGGGATCATGACCTGAGCCAAAGGCAGATGGTTAACCCACTGAGACACCCAGGCACCCCTGTAATCTTCACTTTTACTGGCTAGAAACATAAATCTGGCACACATTAAATAGTGGAGAAGCTCCTATGTAACTTAGTGTACCTAAAGCTGAATTATATTGTATGTTTTATTCTTTATAACACATAGTTGATATTACCATCCTGCCTAAAACATTTTTCTGCATTCATTTATAAAAAGGTATCTCAAGTATCTATTTGTACTTAATATATAAGACTCTTGCTTTTAAAATACACTGGATTTGGGGTGCCTGGGTGGCTCAGTCAGTTAAGTCTCCAACCGATGATTTTGGCTCAGGTCATGATCTCAGGGTCCTGTGATCGAGCCCCGCATCGGGCTCCGCACTCAGTGGGGAGTCTGCTTCTCTCTCTCTATCCCCTCTCCCTTTGCCCCTCCCCCTGCTGTCTCTTTCAAATAAATAAATCTTTAAAAAAATATAAAATACACTTGGATTAGAACATTCAACTGTAACTTCATCAGTTTAATACCAAATATAAGATTTTTATTTTGTTCAAAAAAAAAAAAAGATTTTTATTTTTTTCATAAAAGCAGAATGTTTTTTAAACATACCAATGTAAGGAATTCTAAAGATGTATCTGTGCATGAATAGCAACCAAGTGGGAAGTAGGAAAATTATCATATATTAATTAGATCAATGTCATTGTTTGTGATGTTTTTCAGATATCTTTTTCCACATATTTTTGAGAGTGGAGGAAAATGACTAATTTCTGGCAGGATTTTTCCTCACTGTTCATTTTAAACATTTTTTAATAGGTTTGGGCAAGAGTGACTATGAATAGACAACTTCTTGATCATATGGATTCATGGACAGCTAAGTTCAGAAATGTAAGTTCTGACATTACTCTTTGGACAATACTAGTGCCTCTTAATATGCAAAATATGTTATTAGAATATAATTTAGAGGTATTAATTACTCATTAGAATAGCAGAATTAATATTTAAAAGTACACTATGGATGGCACATATGTAAGGATAAATACGACATTTACCTTATGGTGTCTGTTTTCATCAGATTTTTTTTCTCTCCGTATTTAGTAAATCAGTTTATTTTGAGTGGATTAAGGGATAATATATTTAGTTATTAAGATCTTCTTCCCTTTCCCAGCAGCTCAATTTTATTTTATTTTTTTTCCATTTTTTAAAAAAGATTTTATTTATTTGAGAGAGAGCCACGAGCAAGGGGGAGAGAGAGAAGCAGGCTCCCCGCTGAGCAGGAAGCCTGATGTGGGGCTCCATCCCAGGACCCTGGGATCATGACTTGAGCCAAAGGCAGACGCTTAACCATCTGAGCCATTCAGGCACCCCTATTTTATTTTATTTAAGGTTTTTTTTTTTTTTTCATTTTTTTCCCCCCAAAGAGCTTTTCTGTCAGAATCTATTCTATGTCCAGAAGTTCGAGGGAAATGAATGAGGTCCTCACCTTCAGAGAACTTTTAAGTTAGAGAGAGAAGATAATATATACTAGAAGCTACTTCAGAATATTTCAGTTTCTTCGATTGTTTTGGAGAAGAACCCTCTCATCCTTGACCTGGAGGTTGGGAAGACCGACTCATCCAGAGCGAGTGAGTTCCCTTGTTTCAACCCTGCCTCTTTCCCGCTCTGGGAAGTACTCGAAGGTCGCAAGTTCTGAGGGGCACACGGGCCCTCCTCCACTCCGGGCTCTGTGTAGATTCTGTGGAGGCTGCCACTACTTCACTCCCATCCTTCAGCTCTCATGCATCCACTCTACGTCTTCTAGAAAGCTATTGAAGTCACTTGTGCTCCTCTTTTTATTTTTTTACTATAATTTTAATAGGGTATTGAGAGGGAGTGATGAAAATAGCAGCCTGTTTTCTTGAACCAGAAGCCTGGATGGCTTTTTAAACATAAAAATTCCTGGGGCGCCTGGGTGGCTCAGTTGGTTAAGCGACTGCCTTCGGCTCAGGTCATGATCCTGGAGTCCCAGGATCGAGTCCCGCATCGGGCTCCCTG